CAGGCTTGCCAAATTTGGACGGACAGAATGACCTTGCATTTGAATGTCATAGTAGTAAAGTGTCCTCCGCTATGCTTCGGACAATAATTATATTGTTTTTCTATTTCAACCACTTCTTTAATCCATTCGTTTAAATGACCACGATAATAGTTAGCAACATGTTCCATATCATATCCAGGACAAAGATTGATAGGTTTAGGTACAGCTTTATTATAATTATTATCTAAAATGATCTTAACCATTAGTCCATGCATATTTGATGATTATATGTGATTATGGACAATAAATAAGACTTATAGCAATTTTTTAGTGAATATTTAGCGTTATAGCAGTTTGTAGCAAGTATATTATAATAAAATATCAGATTCATTTTTATTCGATTACAAGCATATCGGGGATTTATATAGGGTCATCTCTCGACTATGCTAATTTTATATTTATATGCAGTGATGGCTATTGGACCAATTGGACTTATAAAAACTCCGTCATTTCCACTATTGGACTTAATAATTTTATAAGTCCAATAGAATTCAATTTTATTGGACTTATAAGCATAGCCAACACTGTTTATATGCATATAAATCGGTTTGTGGATCTCTCGCGGGATTAGCCAGAGGCGCTTCCCATGACGTATATCATATCACAAGTATCCTTATGACGCTGGCGAGTTATAATCACGAGGTGATCGGCTATGGGATATAAGATAACAGTCTTAACAGTTATGAAAAAACCGTTCCCTCGGGGAACGATCATCATGTGATTTTTCGTAGCATTTTTATTTTCTGATAGCATGTAAACATACACGAGTTAAAATATCACGGGCCCGATGTGGGCAAACAAAATAACAGACACTTTATTGATATATTGTGCATAACAGTAATAAAAATTGATTTCACTTCATATATAAGACTGTGATCGCTACCTATCTTCGGATTATCCATGTAGATCGTCATAATCATCATTCCTATAAATTAGATACTAATAGACGACAGGGAGACCTGATTAATATTTGTAGACATACCAGCGTGAATCATTCCAACCGTTTGAATTTCCAAACACCTCTTTACATCCCAATCTACTTTATCCATCAATTTTATTAACATATCCTTAAGCGTTTTAGGTAGCTTTAATCCTTTCTCCTTAAGAATCTTCGTTCCATTTTTGTCAACCCAAATTTTCCCGGCTTCTCCAGCTCCAAATTCATCTTTAACACCATTACTGACACTTCTGAGGATCCAGTCGCCCCTGTGACCCATTTTTCGTCGTTCTCCTGATTTTCTCTTCGAATTTTTTCGTGATGCCGATGCTAAGCTTGAACTTTCCCCTCTGGATTGTTAGAAAAAATCTTATTAGATATGTCAAAGCAATTTACATTTTTATAGAAATTACCTGACGACGGATATTGCTTTTAGATCTCCAAAAGCTTGATCAAAAATCGAATTCCAAACGTGACAATTAAACCAGGCTTCAAGGTTTACATCTTTCAAGCTTTCGCTTTGAATTTCTCTTACTCTATAAAAAAATAAATTTAGTCAATTCACTAAATACATCTATAATATGCATATACGAGATAGTCACATACAATGAATATAAAGCATATATTATGTAATCCTTATCATGATCTTTTTCATGATCGTAATTGTCGTCAAATATCATTTCCTTTATGATCTTTCTAATATCATTCAACCTCGTCTACAACAGAAAAAGAGATTAATAACTTACGTATATCTTTATCAATAACATGTAAATAAGTATTACCTTGTGAAAGAATTTGTTTAGAAATTCAACGATTTCGTCTGAAAGCTCGGGCTCTTGTGGGCCAGGGGCGTTATCAATTTCATCTAACTCTGTCATGTTGAAATGCTGTCTAATTATCACGTCATCAACATCCACAATGAAAGAATGAACAACGCTAAGAAATAAAAACTACGGTTTAGCACAATATTGTTTTCCATAACAATTACCACTGAAAAGCCATTTATATAAATACTAACTGCTCGAATTCTAACTTCTTCCCCAATTCAAATAATTCCTTCTCGACATATTTTCCCGTTGAGAGTCTCCACATTCTCTCCTTTTTCATGCCATTAAATGTCCGCTCAACAATCTGTCGATGTTCCTCGCTCAGCCTGAATGGTCCATTCTAAACGGAAATTCTAATTATTGTCTAAAAAACAAAAGTCAAAAATTCTAATGAATATTTACTTTGTTTTCTTTCACCTTTTTATTGTCGGTCGTCTCCACCTTCTCTTCTTCATCAACCGTCTCCTTCAGACAGATAGTAGTGAGAATAATAAACATTTACAGCTAACAAGACCTGCCAGATATAATTTACCACATGATCTGGTGAATCACTTGTTTCCGAATCTTCATCATCTTGTAATTGATGCTCAGCCTAAAAAAGATGGCAATTATTCAGTTCCAATATGAATAGTAATTCACATTAATGTGAATGTTACCTCGCTCTCCTCAATGTCAATTTCGTTAGAAATGTTTCGCTTTTCCTGATCCATAGTTTCCTTAGGCAATCCAGTGATAAAAGATCCCCATTGATAGTATTTGCATTTATATTTCCATTCCCGTAATTGTTGGCTGGTAGATGTGGAGTTAGCGCGGTTCACTACTCCATTTTCTTGCCTCCGTGAAATTCGGTGGATCATCCTAATAAAAGTGATTTATAAATTATATTGTTCGACTGGCATGTACATAATTCCTACCCAACTTCCTATCCCATCCGGACAGCAAAGGGCTTTAACATCAGACAACTGAGCGCGTCATCTGCGACCACCCAAGGCTTTGAACGTCAGACAACCGAGCAGGTCACCTGTGTCCCAGTGGGACCAGTGTTGTATCAGGCGAACAGCCTTTCAAACATCAGACAACCGATCGGGTCACCTGTGCCCCAACATTGGTTTTGTGGCTCGGCAAACAGCCTTGAACAACAAGAACCGGGTGGGTCCTTGCCATGCCACTATTTTTCAACCCTACGTTTATAACAAAAGAGAAGCCTTACTTGCCGTCGAATTAGGAGAAACCCTATATCTCGTAAGACGAAACTCCGCTTTTTTTTTTCGCTTTCCTTCGTCTAGGTCCACAATTGTGTCGAGACTTTTGAGATATTTATCTATCTTTTTTTGAAATTCCACTTCGTCACATTCCTCCAAAAAACCACGAATGTTCCATTCCGCTGATTTACGACTGAAATATCTATGGACGTTTGAGATTGTAGTGAAAAAAAATTACTGATTAAACTGATATGTATGATCTATATGATCGACAATGTGCATATTGGAAGGTCATGGACTAGCAAAATGCCCCTCTGAGGACCCTCCGTCAAAAAAATTTATTTTTGTTTTAATATAAGCCCGATATGCTTAACTATATAATAATCTAATTTTTTTATCGAAATATTTATACAAAAAATTTCTTTCAAAAAAAAAGATCGACAATCTAAAATTAGTACAATATGCATTCTTAATTAAGGAGACGCAAATAAAATTCGATATAAAAATATTAATTTTTATTTATGGCTTAGGACATAAAATATCCTGAAACGGATCATCAACAAACTTTCGAATATTTTTATATAAATATTCTTGACGCGTTAATGATAAAGGTTTGAATGGTAATACAGTGATTGGTGCCATGGGATTAAAATTCTTGTTTTTTAAAATATCGAAAGTACTAAACTCTCCTGCTGCCTCCTTTTGAACAAAAACTTTTCCTAATTCACTTCTTTTAAACCAAAAATGCCGATACTTTTGAATACCAGGTAAATCTTTAAAATTAGGTTTTAAAAATAATTCAAAATCATAATAATGCCACCCATTTCCTCCATCATAACGAACAGCACAATTGATACCATTTTTAGTAGATTTATTTACTACTTGTTCAACATCATCTACTGTGTTAACCCTTGTTTTTCGAAAAAGAGTTTTGATATTACCACATCTGGTAAAAACTTTGTGTGTCCTGGAACCATAAAATTAATTTCAATAGTATTGTATGTTCCCACCATTGTTAACCAAGACCAAAAAAATAAAAAAAGATTGTTCTTGTTTTGACCTGTACAATTATCACAGGTGACTTTTAAATGTTGTTCTCCTTGGTAAAATTTGCTT